CATGGTGTTTTTCTAAAAGCTTTTTCTAACAGCTATCCTCTAGGAATTATTTTGGGAACGTTCTATGTCTGTGCTATACAGGCGGTGAGACCAGGTGATCACCGGATCCCTTCTGGCTTTATAATCTCAGAACTAGGTACATCAATTCACATGCAAAATTCTCATTGAATTCAATAGGTGTCCTTGCCCTGTGGCTTAAGGTGAGGGCTGCAGCAGGGGCCGTACAACCCCTCTCGCAGCTTCCTAGGGCCTCCTCTCGCAGCTTCCTAGGGCCACCTCTCATGGCTCTGTGCACCTGTGTCTGTCATTGTCGTCCTCTCCCCTCCCCCCGCCCCGCTCGCCCAATGTGTCCTGATATTTCACTCCTGCGATCTGGTCACCCTATTTAAGAGCTTCCTATGACAAAGCACTAAACACGTCAGCTAAAATGAAAAAGCAGTCAGTTAGTTTGAATGGCTGCTGGCTTTGCATTAGGCTTGATAGAAGGTACCAAAACAACAATAAAGGCATTGCAAAGTTGTTATTGTTGCACAATCAATGGGTGAATTCCAGAATCATCACACTAAGGAAGGTCTGTTAAAATGTGACTAAACTAAAGCTCTGAGTGGAATATGAGCGAATGGCAAAGCAAATGGCAAAGCAGACAGTAGCATTTAACAGCTGAGGGAGAGCAGCATCTGGATAATTGTGCCTTTCATTTCTAGGTAAATGATTCAAACCCAGGCTTCAGGAAAAGCTGTGAGCAGAGTGGATGGCCATAGAGGCAGCCTCAGCCCTGCTCACCTAGCTAGGGGTTACACACAATGGCAGCCTTCATACTCACGGAGTGCAAGCACCCTTAGCACTGCAGTTGCAGCAAGCCTCTCCAAATGGGGTGGGAAGCCCTGGGGCCATGCCCTAAAGAGGAGAGGGGAGCAAGTGGTGCTTTGTCTTGGAGGCTGGTGCTCTCTGAAGCTGTAGCGGCGGTGTGCCTGAGGCATGATGCCTCCGGACTTTCCTGCATTGGCAGCAAGCCTCCACAGCATGGGGCTCTGCCTTCAAGGCACTACAAGGCCATAAGCCAATAACGGTGCCGATGGGCCCAGTCGCCTCAGCAGAAAGGCAAAGGACTGCATGGGAGTGGTGACTGCACTACTCCTGTCCTCCTAGACACGCTGCCTCTAGGGGATGTCTACATTGCAATCAGAGAGATGACTGCAGCATAGGTAGAAATACTGGCTAGCTTTGATCTATCTAACTGAAATAAAAATGGCAGTGAACCCACAAGCCTGCCTGGGACCCTGGGTATGTACTCACACTGCTAGTCCATGCTGCCACGGCTTTGCTGCTATTGTCATTTGAGCTACCTAGATCAAAGCTAGCTCAGGTATTTCTACACATGCTGAAGTCACCTCTGATTGAAGTGCAGACATACCCTAGGTATGGAGATCAGTGGGGAAGGTCTCCTGGGCTGTAACTGTTCTGTGGATAAACAAAGGACTTCAGTCTACTGGCTGATAATGCGGCTCCTTTCACAAGCACCAAGTTCACTTTAAAATGCAATCAAAACTGAAGGTCTCATTTAATCTTTTAGAGGACAACTAAAACATCCAGCACACGGACAGAACAGTTAAAACAGAAATGCACTGAAACTACTAGCCCCTCCATGAGCCCAAATTTCATGTTGTTTGATCTACCAAACTGAAACAAGTGGACACTTGATGGTATAGAATGCATTTACAAAGATACGTTACAGCTTTTGAACAGCTCTGTGGCTAAACTATTGTCCCCCTCCCCATTAGAAACCGGCTTTAAATGTAATCTGTCATCTGCAGCGAGCTGATTTTTGCTTTACAGAGGGGTTAAAGTAATCTACTTTCCAAAGCCATCATTTATGATGGATGACACAGGCCAGTTCAGCTGATGTCTGCTGCCCAGGGATGCAACAAGCTTGAACTAAAATATATGGAACAGATCTGAGATGAGATGCTAATAGGATTTACCACACGAGGGGCTTTTCCTTTTGGGTGGCACAAATATTCTTGAGGGATAAATGAGGGGCAGCCTCTTCAACCTTAAAAACACCACTGTGAGCACAGTGCAAAGAGGCAACCATTGATGTGGTTTAGACATATCTGTTCTGTGAATAAATAAGAAGGGATTCTTGTTTCTAAGTAGACTGGAGCAGCTGAATTTAGCTTGGGTTTGGTTGAATGTACGAACATTTGCTAGTCATTTTATTGTGTGCGCAGTGGACAAGTACAGTGCTTCCAGCCTTCAAGCAATTGCAACTTATCAGCTAGTTTGGGAGACCCCTTTTTGCTTCACAGACACACAATACTGGTGAACGTTTCACTTACGTTTTGGCTTTCCTCTTCCTTTTTGTCAGCTGGCTTGTCTGACTGTGACGCTGCTTTCCTCCTTTGCACAGGGGTAAAAAAGTAGGACAAAGTCAACCCTTTAGAAATGCATTTCCTGCACAAGGCTTCAATCGTCATTTGAAAAGACTTATTTGTGCCTTGGTGAGGATTATCTTTTACTGCTGTGGAATTTCTTTAGCAGAAGACGGAACCTGTTGGCTGCACAGGATTTGACCAATGGTTAAGAATCCAAACTAGGCCTCTATGAAGCAGGATCTTCAGGCAGGGGATCAATATTTTGAGTCAAGGTACCATACAGAAGTACAGGGTTGTACAGTATAAAGGAACAGGGGTAAGGAAAATAGACATGCCATTGAGCAACTAAGAGACAATTTCTTGCAAAGTGTAGGGCTGCTTCTATAATAAAAAAAACTGGCACATAGGCTACTAAGGTGGATGTTCTAATACTGGGCCAGATTATTTCCCCCCTAAAATCCATATGCCGAGCGGACTCTCCATGTACAGAACTCGCTCGTTCTGCCGCCCCCACCCCTGACCCAGAGAGCGCAATCTGTAGGCCTGAGGATCTGCACGTGGGCATGGAGATGTGGGGCTGGGAGAAATGCACATTAACCCCTCCACACACATACTCCCCACCAGCCTCAAAGGGCACCCACAGAGCAGATAGTGCAGCCTGGGGACACGTTTACATTTCTGATGTGCCACAATCTCCATTGAGTGTGGACTCCAAGGTAGCAGGGGGTGAGGGAAAGCTCTGGCTGCCTGGAAGCCAGGAGGGGGCCAGAGCCAGTACTCGGGCCTGGGCTTTCACATGGATAGCCCTGTGCCTCTAGTGGATCCTGGGAGATTCTGAAGGCCCCAAAGCCAATCCAAAGGCTGTAGAACTGCTAAGCCCTCAGGTTCATGGTACTTGTAGCATTCAGGGGGGTTAGAGAAAGTTAAATGAAGAATATTTGAGCTGAGACCAAGATTCCGTATTCCTTTGTCAGCCTGAGACAGGCTAAAGCATCGCTCTCTGCGTGGCTCAGCATGGAAACAAGTTACAAACCGCTGTGATTTATAAGCAGGCTTGGAAGGATTCGATTTTTATCGGTAAATGTGGGTAAACATCAATTTCAATGTACACATAAACCGCTGAAAACATATGTCCACGCAGAATAATCTAAATGTACAGATAGGCAAAGTAAGAAAAAATGCTGCTTGGGAAGTTGTTAGAGGTTAATTTAAGGCTTTGTATATTTTGACATGTGATGTTGACAGCTTGTGATTTAAGGCCTTGGCTACACTGGCGCTGTACAGTGCTGCAACTTGCTGCGCTCAGGGGTGTGAAAACGCACCCCCTGAGCGCAGCAAGTGCAGCGCTGTAAAGTGCCAGTGTAATCAGGGCCTGCAGCGCTGCACACTCGCTCGCAGCGCTGCAAGCTATTCCCCTCGGAGAGGTGGAGTACTTGCAACGCTGCGAGAGCCCTCTAACAGCGCTGGTGGCGCGACTACACTCACGCTTCACAGCACTGCCGCGGCAGCGCTGTGAATCCCCAAGTGTAGCCAAAGCCTTAGAGTTATAAAGCTTAAACTTTTTGAATCTCAATGTCTGCTCTCACTAAATAATTATTGTCTGTTCTCCGCCCCCCTGCATTATTTTGCACAACTGCAAAAATTGAAATCAACAAACATGTAAAACAATGCTTAAAAGCAAACACTGATATTATCTGTTGAAATTATAAATAAAAACAAAATTGAATTCTGCCAAGCCTATTTATACAGGAACAATCCTGTCCTGGCAGAGGGAGGGACAGTGGCCTAATGTGTCACTTCAGTCTATCTTAGTTCCTATGAGGGGCATGGCGCAACTTAAGCATAGAAGGCTAGGAAAGTGGGAGAAGGTGGTTCTTGAAGGCCTGTGGCTGCTCTCCTGCTCTTGCCCTCAGGACATAGACTAGCACTTACATAGCTGGACTCTGCCAAGGGGCTGGAATCGAGGGAGTCACGGCCCTTCCTCCTGGCTAGTAGTGTCAGCACAAGAGGAATTCTGGCTGAACTAGCCAGTGTCCAGGACCGGCTCCAGGGTTTTGGCCACCCCAAGCAGCCAAAACAAAACAAAACAAAAAACAAAAACAAAAAACAAAAAAGAAAAGAAAAGAGCCGTGATCGCGATCTGCGGCGGCAATTTGGCGGGAGGTCCTTCAGTCCCAGGCGGAGTGAGGGACCGTCCGCCGAATTGCCGCTGAATACCTGGATGTGCTTCCCCTCTCCGGAGCGGCTGCCCCAAGCACCTGCTTGAGAAGCTGGTGCCTGGAGCCGGCCCTGACAGTGTCTCTGGGAGTTCTTGCTGTTTAAGTTCACCAGCTCTCTCTAGAGAGAGGCTTACAAACCACAATGTAGCTTAGAAGAAAGCAAGTATTGTTCAGTTTCTACTCTCTTTTTCTTTTTAGTACATTAGTCACAATGATAATGTGATTCCTGAGGAGTGGGAGCATGCACATTCGATTCTCAAGCTCTGCTTAACGTCTAAAAAGCACTAGAGAAAACATACCACATTTCTATCCTCGGCAAAGCTCAGAGCCAAGGTCAGGGGAAGTGTGGATTGTTGGCAGTTTTCATTTATTCATCCGCATAATTCCTCGCACTTACATAGTGCTTTACATTTCCAAAGTGCTGTGCAAACATCATCTAATTAATCCTAACAAAAACACCCACTCTACTGTTCATACTGTTTTTTATATCAGTTTAACTCTATTGTCATGAACAGAGTCACTCCTGATTTGCACCAGCGTAACTGAAAGCAAACTCAGGCCCACTGCCTCTTCAAAGCATAACTCACACACTATGAATTGACAGTCTAGGTGCATCTGGGATCTTCCTTTTCCCTCATTCTTTACCCCTCACCTCCTTTTACAAGTGTTCACCCTTTTCACTGGGGCACAAATTTCATGACTGCCCTGTTATATGGCCAGCAGTAGTGAGCCCAAGATGTCTTCATGTGCAACTCAATTTAATGGACTGTTGCAGTGTTCTTGTAGCCCTGTTGGTCCCACAATATTAGAAAGACAAGGCGAGTTATTCACTCTCACAGAAAAAATTATAAAAAGACAAAAACACCATACTACCAGTGTGTGAACACTTTTCACAAAGTGATCACTCCACATCTGATCTCTTAGTCCTCATCCTCAAAGGAAACCTGAAAATCACTTTGCTAGACACTAAAACTTCTGGATTTAATAAAGACACTGGATTTATGGTTTATCACAATAATCTGTAACCCGCTTTTTGTCCTATAACTGCAGAGGTGTTAACTATCCACTTCACACTGAATGGTCTCTTACAATATGTATTAACTACTTATGCTAAACAATCTATTCCACCCTGTTTAGCTGTGACACTCTGGGTATCTCTACACTGCAATTAAACACCAGTGGCTGGCTTATGTCAGCTGAGTTGGGCTAAGGCTTCGGGGGTGGGCTATTAAACTGCTGTGTAGACATCCGGGCTCAGGCAGGATCCCAGAGCCTGGACTCCAGCCCGGACATCCACACTGCAGTTTTATAGTCACATGATCCCAAGTCCTGTGACATGGGCCAGCTGCGGGTGTTTAATTGCAGTGTAGACATACCCACAGAGCACCTTTCCCAGACCCAAAGAAGAGCTCTCAATAAGTTTGAAAACTTCTCTCTTTCACCAACAGAATCGGGGTCAATACAAGATATTACCTACCCACCTTGCCTCTTTGATGGACTGTGTGAGCTCTATGGGAGGGTTGTATTGTGTGAATGCTACCTGGCAGCTGTAGGAAAATCCACCTCAGCTGGAGCATAGAATCAGAAAGATTCAGGGATGTTTGATTTCCTACTTTAGATTATTAGGTGCAATGCAACTCCACATGCCACGTGGACCTTGGCTGTGATGACTGTAATCCATCAAATACTCCTCCACCTCCAGAAGCCACTTCATTAGATTTTTCTTCCACTAAACTGGCAGCATTTTTATTTAGTTTCTGACTCGGAGGCCAGCAACATCCACCCCACAGAAGGAAAATAAAACCCCACACAACTCTCAAAGCCAAATTCCAAACCCCTTAGCAACTGAATAGGAAAGATCTGTGAAGGGATTTTCCTTCTTACTGTTGGCAGGAAAAGCCTCAGAGATTTCAAAAACAGAGGTGGTCCATGTAAATCCTGAAAAAGCATGAAACTAAGATCTACCATGATGTGTGACTGGTGTGTATGTGTATTGGAGGTGGGGGACGGGGTCAAGGAAGTGTTTATATAGTTTTAGTAGCATTAATAACTTTACTGTATTTGATATCTCCAGGGAATTACCATAGGCGCTGACTCCATGGGTGCTCCAGGGCTTACGCACCCACTGAAAAAAAATAGGGGGTGCTCAGCACCTGCAGGGACAGATTAATCTTTTGTGGGCCCTGACCCCTGCTCCGAAGCCCCACCCCTGCTTGGCCTCTTCCCCACCGAGGACCCACCCACGCTCGGCCCCACCCACCACTCGCATGGGGAAGGGGGAGTGGGGAAAGCAGCAGAAAGCAGCACCCACTGGCAAAAACGAAAGTCAGTGCCTGGGGAAATGACAATTCCAGTGGTCAGAGGTCTTGGATCTTCTAGATCCTTCTGTGGACCAATGCCAAGAAAAGCACTGCTGGGGTGACGGGCTGATGTTAGATTTAAGTTCTGGTATATTGCAGAAAAATTAATGGGGCTAGAAATGATAGTGGTTTGTGAGACAGCACTTCATTCTCCTTTGTTTCCACTTCAGTTCTGAAATGATTATAGCAGCTGCTATCATAGGAATCACTAAGTCTAGAAAGCAATGCTTTATATCACCTGAAACCTAGCTTCTCAGATACTGTGCCTACCCTGGATACATTCCATCCTTAGCGTGCAGACCTAAGCTGAAAAATGGGGATTCTGTTGGTCTCTCAATGACTTTCTTTTTTAAAATGAACTCACACGATACAAAAGATTTTTTTCTGACTGCCAGCCCTGCAAACACAACCTGCAACGCAGGAGTCAAGTTCTCCTGGCACCTCATACATCATCACCAGTAACAAAGTTCTGCAGGTCACAGGAAGTCCTCACTCACACCTGTGTAACTGCACTTTGTTCAGATGACATTCTCAGTGGACACCTGTGCAATCTTACTGCCTTCAATGGGTTTGCACAGGTGGAATTTAGTAAACAATTCTTCTGACGACTCCCATAGGAGAACAGAACCTGTGGCTCACTCAGTCTCAGCTGTGTTGGTTGTGCAGTGCTAACAGGAGTAAAATGTAGGGAAAGCTTATTTTTGTCACTGGAGTGAGCACATATGACCCTGCATACACCAAAGGTCCAGATCTGTTGGCGAAAATAGATGCCGCACTTAATTAGCCTCTTTCTTAGATTAGAGCCACACATTAAAGATGTACATTTTGGGAGGCTTAATACTTCCAAGCATAAGAGAGGGAGTCTTTCCTTATCATCTGGAGTCTGTCTATCCATCTGTTCTGGTTATTTATACAACACTAGTCACTGGGCCTGATTACAACTTCTAATATAACAGTTTTACTCTTCATTCTTTATTTACACCAGCACAAAGTGAGCTCAGAATCTGACCCACTGAATCCAGTGATTAACTATTCGAATTCAAATGAACCAGAGATAATTGTATATTTGGCATTTTATATTATTAATAACCAGTTTTACAGGACTGTACATTTACATGGTGCTTTACAACTGCATGTCTGGTGTGTGTAGAATTCTGGTTGAAACCAACAGGAGATGGAGAGCTGTCTGGACTAATTGAATAAGAAACATTTTCTGCCCCAGAGAACATTATTTAGCCATTTCAAATCTGTTTGCTTTGTAATAGTGGATCTGTTCCTATTTATTCCTCTCCTCCTCTTCCTGCATTTTTACTCTTTCCCCGTTTGCACTTTGTAAAACAATAAAAAAAATCCTTTAAGATAAACTCAAAAGCATCTCTGACACTTGTGAGCTACAGGCTGATAAAATGAACATTACAATGGAAGGGGAGGAGGGGGAGAAAAAGCAAAGAAGGGAATCAGAATGATGTGATTTTTAAGGGGTGATATCTCATGTCCTGCCAAGGAATAGAAACACTTGTGTGGACTTGCCCAAAGATATTTAGGACCAGTAACATTTCATTGGCACATATAATCAGTAAAAATAATTGTCAATGCCAGGTATTATGTTATTAATAATGGCCAAAGGATAATTCAAAGGTGTAAAGTAGTAGAGAGAATTTTTTAAATCTGTAAAGGATATAATGGTTATGAGGCAATTATTTATTGTACAGGTTCTAAGATAGGTGGCAACCTTTGGTGGGAGAGGTTTCTAAGGAAAGGGAAAAGGGAGGGGAAAAAAGAATAAACACAATTAAAATTAAAAATGTAGGCTCTAGTCCTGTAATTGGATCCATGCAGGGGGACCCTTGCACCCATGTGGATCCAACTGCAGGTGAGGCCCATAGAGAATATCCCACTGGCAGTTACCTCAAACTAACCCTCTGACTTGCATAGGATTGTAGAGGAGTAACTGAGGGCAGAATTTGCTTACGTCTTGACAGACTTCTGGGTGAGATGTGCTTTGCTGGTTAAACTGGCCTGCACACAGAACTGGGCATCTATTTCCACTCAATCTTGTCTATGTTCTCTATGCAACAGGCAGTACATTTTGATTTCCAGCAGCATAGAGAAGCTGCAGTGACACCAAAAAGTCAGATGAATGTATCCTGTACTGCAGTCACTACCCAGTAAATATTCCTATGTCATTGCTAATAACAAACGTTAATCCCCCTGCACTGCATTGATTTTGGAAAGTCATTCTTTGGGAATCCAGGGAGCATGACGTACATGTGCTATGGTGGGACTTATCTGCTTTCAATCCTGTGTAGACTCATCAAGGAATCTGCTTAACCTGGCATCCTAGCTGACTTGATGTATTCGCTGGGTAAGAAGTACAGTGACCTTTTATTTCACAACCTCAAAGGCTACCAGTATGCAATCTTGTTATTGCAGTTTTGGATACTTTTTTGGTCCATTCTACCCAATATACCCCACAATAATTATCTTCCTGGGGCTCTGTTAAAACTCATTCCTTTAGAACACAGCAGCTTTGACGTAGATTGTAAACCAGTAAAGGCAGAGAGAAAAATCAGTAACTTCTAAGGCTCTCTCTCCCACAGAATCTGCAGGATCAGCTGGAGCAGTTCAAGCTGGCTTGACACCCTGGCTGGCAATACCTATGCTTTTACTATGTAAAAAAAAAATGGGGTCCAGGGAATAGCACCTACACAAGAATAGCAGCGTGGCAGGCTGTTAACCTGATCTCTTGAACTTCCACAATACTATATCCCATGCAGAGTTTTGCCAGTTCCAAAGAGGCATTGGAGCTACCCAATTGCTAGTAGCTACCGAAAGCGTATTGTTCCACAGTCTGCTGGTGCACTTGTTCTAGAGTTTACTTTAGGACAAAGTACAAACCTTTTTGCCAGTAATTTATTCATTTCTTCCATTAGTCCTCCTCCTCCTCCTCCACTACTTGTTCGATTGGCATCGCTCTTAGAGGCCCCACTGGGGCTGGAGCCTCCTGAACCATCTTCTGGCTTAAGACACAAATTGACATTGCAAGTCACCAGAGGAATTTATTGCAAGCACCTGCCCTTTCTGACTAGTTTAGATAATCACTAGGAGCAAAGCACCATGATTGCAGCTTGCAGTCAGAGGCAGAAAGCACAATGGGTCAGAATGGAAGCAAATGTAATTCAGGTCAAACCCAGTGGCTAATTCACATATTAGGATTGGGAAACCCACTGTGGATTTAGTAAATGCCTGAGCAAATGATGAAAATGACAACAAAATGATTCTGAATTTCTGGTGAGATTATGCAACCCTTACTCCTCTCAGTGAGCATCTACTCACGCACGGGCTGCACAATCAAGCCTTTATTTGATAAGTCTAGAGTAGTTTTAACTACTGATTGTCATGGTTGATAGCATAATACTAGTGAGTGTTCTACAGGATACATTGGAGAGAAACCAATTATGTCTTAGTCATATGAGAAATCGATGCAGGCACCTGCTAGTTAATCTTCACTGCGTAGTGAGGATTAAGTGTGAATTACTGTAAAAACAAGTCAGGAAAAAAAAATCAACTTGAAAATTTCCTCCTGAAAATTACAAAACCAAACATAGAAATCTGCTTTAAGGACTGTGTCTAATGGACAAGTGGCCACTTTAAAGGCCCAGCCATATTGCACATGCAGCTCAGGAAAAGGGGGCGGAGCAAAAGAAGCAGCTGCCCTGGGGCCGGCGATTTAAAAGGGCCTGGGGCTCTGGCTGCCACTGCCGTAGCCCCGGGCCCTTTAAATTGCTGCTGGAGCCCTGGGTGGCGTGGGTCAGGCAGCGCGGATGGGCTGGCTGGCGGATGCTGACCCCCAGCTCTGCCCCGCCCCTTCTGCCCAAGGCCCCGCCCCTTCCAGGGGAGTGGGGAGGAGCCGGCCCTGTACCAGTAAGAGTTCAATTTTACTTTCACCCCTGTTTCCAGCTCAAATCTTCCTTTTAATAACAGCCTGTACAAGCAACTGACTTTTCACGGTCCATGGAATGGTCACTTAAAACACATTTCACTGGGCTTTGTAGCGAATTCTGACTATCCATGAAATAGATTAGCAGAAGGTTAAATAAAACTAGGTCAAGCATTCCTCATTCTCCAGCGAAGGCCAGACTGTGTGAAAACCCCCGTGCCACAATCCTTACCCGTTGTACTCTCCTGAGTTTGGCACCAGCCAGGGCTGCTGCTAGTCCTGACATTGACCCATCGTCAGTGCTACCTCCGTGTCCTCCACCTGCCGGCAGTGGAGGTGGGGGAGGTGGCGCTGCTCCTGTAGGCGGAGGAGGTACTGGCGGGGGTGGCGGAGGTGGGGGCCCACTGGATGAAGCAGGGATTGTGGCAGCAGTGGAAGGATGACCAGGTGGAAGGATGGGACCTGAAACATACAGAAGATTAAATAAAAATAAAGAACATTCTTCCCCATCTCACATACAGCCTGTTCTCTTGTCATTGACAGTTGGGTGAATGAAGGTCTAATGACATACAATCAGAAGAATGATACTTGGTGAGTATGTCAATGGTACAACATCTGCTTTTTAGTTATCATCGGCACCTGTGTCCTTATGCAAAACCCCTGTAACATGTAACCACCACCTATCCCTTCCTCTGGTCAGGCTATTGTTCTGTCTCGACACAGAGTACACTTTCTGGTTTACTGTTGGGATCTCTCTTCTTCATTTTAACTTTTCAGATGCAGATAAATAAATGTTATCAACTAACTCTGTGAATGTCCACTTTTCAGATAAAAGCCTGGGCTTTTGCTATACATTTCCATACAACTTCCATTTAATGAAATTTGTGTGGCTAAATCCTATGTCAGCCTTTGAAAATTAAGGGGCAAGTGTTCAATTTTAGCCACGGTGTATTTCAACAGAAGCTACTGCGAGTAGCAGCGTCCTTCAATGGACAGATTAGAATATACTTCTGGTATATTTCTCCTATTTATAACAGAATGAGTATTCCATCAATGGTACGTTACCTAGAATTACTCCACCTCATCAAAGGCTTCTGTTGCTATTCAATTACAAACTCAATTGTGCAACAAACATTAATTTGATAGAGGGTTTTTTTATTGGTTTAGAGGGAAAATTTAGGAATGATATTCAGACAATACGGCCTGATTTTCTATCTATTTAGTTTTGTTTTTTTAATAACGTCACCCATCATTGTGGTCAGAGATAACCTCTAACATTATGGGCACAACATTACTCCTGCTAATAACTATGCTCACAATGCTGCTCCTGCAACGAACTGTGGGTGTATTAGCAGCATGTCAGCTATTTCCCTACCCGTTTGGGCCCACAGATGAGATAGCTGGCAATTCATTGCGAGCACAGTGAATTATAGGTGCAAATCTACACCCACAAAATTAGAGGCCAAGCTGAGGCCTGGCTGAAAAATAATTTAGATTATAAATTGACCTCACTCAAAAATAATGGGCAAGATACTTTGTTGGTGTAAACTGGAATAAGTGTGTTGAAGAAAATGGATATATAGTCACCTACACCAGTTGAGGGTCTGACCCAACAGAGGCAGTTGAAATATCTGGAGCAGGAAATTTGTCAGTGGAAGAAATATACAAATGTTTCCTAAGTTCTCTAGGCACATCCATTTAAGCACAATATGGTTATACAGAGAGATGGGTCCAACTTGCAAAACCTGATCTGGATTTTGAACAGGCACAACACAGAGCTGCTCTAATCCAGGCATTTTAACAATACAGGCCATATGCAAAATATAGATCCACACGCAGGGCTAGTCTACACTAGAAAAAGTTTGCTGGTTCAGCTATCCTGGCAAACCCTCCTAGTTTAGATGCAACTTATATGGCTGAAAGAGTGCTTTTGCAAGTCTAGCTTATCCTAGTTCCCCAAATGAAACAAGCCCCACTGGCAAGATCACTTTTTCTGCATCTACACTAGGCCTTTCATCAGTAGAAAAAACGTTGAAAATATTACGCCCTTAACTGTCATTACTACACTTTCAGAAGTTTTGAGAGTAGTTAAAAATATTATCTCCCCAAAGATTGGAGCATTTGGATATGAGGTTTTGTGTCAAGTCCACCACCAGTTATAGCACTAACCTTCCATACCTTTTCCCTAATTGTCTGAATTATCTGGTGCAGTAGTATTAGCCTTTGATTACTCAAGAGTTTTTCCCACATATTGTCCTGGGGCAGAGCAAACTGGGCTTTATGAACAATCAGGTCAAATCTAAAGCTCTTTTAATGGTTATAACTAATTCAAAACAAGTACTTACTCAAGTGGGAAATGGTTGATGAAGTCATGAAAGGAGGGGTCTTCTTGGACAAATTCACCTCAGATACAGCAGCATAAGCGGGAGGTAATGAAACAAAGTGTGACATGGCCTGGTACAATTGCTTTGGAGGATGAGGTGAAGGTTGGGAGGACTGAAAAGAAGCCTGGATGAAGGAACCAGCAGGGCTGGTTATAACTGGTAGCTGAGAGATGGGTACAGTTTCTAAGTATGAGAAGAAAGACCCATCCACGCTTTTTACCTGGGAACTAGAGGAGTTTAAAGGAATTTGTGTGGCTAGAGGTTCATCGGGTTGGCCATTCAGGCCTATCTGAGGTACATTTGCAGAGGCTTCTTGGACTGTTATATCTGTAGATCTCCTGATTCTGCCATTCTGGACAGGAATCACAGGAAGGACCTCTGGAATATGCGGCTGCAGGACAGAACCCTTCTGCACGGGGGATGTAGTTGTTACAGGAGAAGAGGAAGACTGAGGAGAGTGTGAAAGAGAGGAACGTCTAACAGGCTGGTGAGGTGCGAATGGAAAATGGGAAGGAGGCTCAGGCGGTGGGGACAAAGAGATCTGTTTGATGCTTTGTGTTACAGTCCTGTGGTTTGGTCGTACTGGAGAGGAGAAGGAACCCGGGGAGGGTGAGAGCTCAGAGGCAGAATGTCTGTGACGAAGCTGTGGGAATTCTCTGGCTCTGTTAGAGGATTTGAAAGAGGTTTTACTACTGGACTCGGGGATGGTGGATGCTGAAGAGATAACGTTGGCATAAGATGGCGGTGGAGGGGCAGCACCAGCGGAAGTAGAAGCACTGTAGTTACTGTAGTCAGGAGGAGGAGACTGGCAGTGGGAGGGGGAAGAAGACACTTTTATCTGAAGGGTAGAAACTAAAAGAACAGAAAAGAAAAGTGAAAAGAATAAAATGGGCATACAGCAAGGAATGAAAACAAGGCAGAGTGGTTAGGAGACAAGGAATTAAAAAGTAAATGAAAGCAGAAAATAATAAATAAAAAAGGATGGTGCAGTCACGATTTTAGTGATGTCCAGATGACCGCAGCAATCGAGAGCTGTTCCTTCCTTTAGTTCAAAGCAGTGACACACACAGCATAGGCTAGAGTTTTTGCTTTGATGTTTGTAAAGCTTCTTCTAACCCCACAAACCATCTTGAGTCAGAATTACACACATTACCTTTGTTCCAAGGACAGTGGCAAGTGGCACTTGGGGGAGGAGGAATAGCTCAGTGGTTTGAGCATTGGCCTGCTAAACCCAGGGTTGTGAGTTCAATCCTTGAAGGGGCCATTTAGGGATCTGGGGCAAAAATCTGTCTGGGGAGTGATCCTGCTTTGAGCAGGGGGTTGGACTAGATGATCTCCTGAGGTCACTTTCAACCCTGATATTCTATGATTCTATGACACTTTGAACATAAAGACAGGCACACAGGTTGTGTACAGCACAGAGATGCCTCCTCACATGCAACAGGGCGCTCAGCTGGAACTGTCACTAGCTCACATATTATGCCTACGTCAAGGTTCCTCACAGAAGCAGAGCCAGGGTTTCATTTGTTTTAACGGACTCAAAATGGCACACAGTTGTGCGCGCCCAAATTAGGAGTTCAAAGCCACCGAGCATTATTCTGTATGACTGCCACAGGTGACATTTTCTGTGGACACAACTGAGCTGCTTTTAAATAAAAAAAAGCTGAGCAAAAACTATTCTTTTCCCCCAGATTCACAAAAAATTCTGGTGTCGTTTGCACATATTTTTTCACAGAACCAAAAGCCAGATTCTGCAGCCAGAAACTTCTATTCCCACCGCACCACTTATCAGGTTGCTAATATATTAGAAAATATTTTCAATCCGTTCAGTAAATACTTTCCCACTAAACTTACACAAGCCCTCTCACCTTATTACCCCAACTAACGGACTCTTACAGTCAGATTCTCTTCTGTACACCTCGTGGAAAGCTGGAAGAGCCAGGCACAGACAGCTGATCTCTGGGTAGAGGGATCCTATAGTGTCATAGAGCCAGTAGAGTGATTCCTATGCCACCCACTCTCCCTGTGGCTGTGTAGAAAATGTGGCTAGGCCTTTTCTGCACCCCAGCAACATCAGCCCCTTGGCACTGTGGAAAACAGCATAATTTAGAGCAGCCTTTACACAGCTCAGTCTTAAGCCGGTCTCATAGCTAGCATGGGACTGGAAGAGCACAAAGCTTTGCTTAAATCCATCTTTACACATCCCATCTGAGTTGCGCTGTGTGCTCTGAAGTTTGGACCTTAAACTTCAGTCAAATCTGTGGAAAAAAATGCAGCCATGTTCCAATTTATTAGTTTAAGTCTCTAACTGAAAATGCTTTGAAATCCCACAATGATTATTGCTATATTTAGCAGGCCAGTTATTTCTGTAATAACACATGACAACCACCAACAGCTAGAGGAGACAGGAAGGGAGAGGAATAGATTTGCATTGTTTACAGATACATTGCATTGCATTGTTTGATACATGCCTGTGGTAGAGGTTCTTCTTTCCAGAGATTCCTGGCGCTGTTGCTGCTGCTCCATCACTTGCCTAAAACAATGGTTTTTAAAACATTCCGGTTTTATTTTTTACTCTTTTTAGAAAATGTTCTATACACTGATATGGGCCCAAGCCATAGAGTTTGCATCTGAGGGGCATTAATCAGCCCATTATAGAAATAAGGGCTAGACCGAAAGGGCTGAGGTGAGTTCTGATCTCATTTATACTGGTATAACTCCACTGATTTCAGTGGAGTTTCTCTTGATTTACACCAGAGAAAGTGGGATCAAAACAAGGCCCTGCACTTGGAGCATACTGCAAATACTTGTAACAGAAGCTTGTAATTCATGTGATAATTCTATAATGGATATTCAAATGTGGAATAGCCAATGAACTTAAAGTAAGAGAGTACTGCAGTGTCTCAGATCCCAATCCAGCACAGCTCTTAAGCATATGCTTAACTTGAAGCAGCTAAGGAGTTCCACTAAAGTCAATGGGATACCTAACATGCTTAAGTTAAGCACATGCTTAAATACTGTGCTGATATGGGACATAAGGAACGGCAGTATACCGATAAGGATTTAAAGAAACGTGATTTGTGTTTAGTGGTTGATTGTACATAGCCAACTGCTTCACACAGCTGTATAAAACAAAATTCCTTTATCACAACCATAGAGTTTTTCAGGTGAACAAAGTATTGGACACCTGGTTAACAGAATGATCATGTGATACTTTAAATACCACAAGCCAAATTTTGTCCTCAGTTACTGCTGAGGTCAAAAGGACCAATATTTCTTGACTGTCTCAATAAGCAATGACCACAAAATTACTCTGATGAATTTTTAATAGCCTTATGATCATGAGCAAAGTGTTAATTTCAATACTTTCACATGTCAAGGTTTGCAGGATTGGGCTCTTGGTTGGGAATAAATAATACAGAGCAACCTATTAGAATACTATCAATGGTTTAATAAAACATTCCAAAAATAGTCTCCATTTTACTGAGACATGCACTTCCCCAAATTTACCACTAGAGGTCCTCTCTTTCACACTAACAATCCTGAAGAAATATTGTTCACCATAATTGATATAATCTCTGACCTTTCTTTGGTTATTTAAAGAGACGAACAGCTCAAAACTAGAGTAACAGTTAGCTATTTTAGAATCTACATGGATATGAACTATATATTTCAACAACACTTAGATGTGACTCAAATTGTGGAAGGAAATTATATTTATATTATTACACACAGAAAAGAATGTTACATTTGCAAAGTCAGGCACTCAAAAGTCAAAAGCACTTAATTTGGTCCTCTTGTGTATATGCATTATGATACTGTCTGTAATTATATAATCACATAATATAGTTTCCACAGGACCCCAGCCTCATTTTATGTACAATCAAGTAACCTTAACTGTAGGGGGTGCTATGAATTAATACGCAGTGGCAGCTTTAAATAGGTTTTCTCTGTTATATTTAATATGCATTGTATTTTAAAATGCACATATATTTGATTTTACTGTGGAACTTATGATTTTTACTATATGTAACAGACATGTCTAGAAAAATGACATTAGAGTATGTACAAATAAAGTTAAATGATTTAATTTGCATGATAGACATTCCTATATTTTAGGCTCCAATTCAAAATTACTGGATTGGCCCATCCATAATTAGGATTATTCATTATGCAGTGATCAATCTTGTACTAGATTCACAATAGAAACCTGGCATGTAACTCCGCCATATAAAGTCACAGGGTATGTATATATATATATTTTTGTATGGAATGGTGCAATTTTTGGAAAACCAGTAAGGGCACATGGAAATTATACTGTAAGAGATGGCATTCTGGCATCTGTTGCATGTCCCATTGAGATCCCAGTGCTGGGCTGAAGTGAAAAATCTAGCAGAAAGTTCTCTCCCTAACTGTTCCCACTGCTGGAGCGGGAGCTTGGCCCAGCTGGGAACTGCAAGTCTGAATATACTCCCAAGGGAGGGACCCAATGCAGACACTTGAATTTCAGGCTGGCCCTGGCTGTCTCCAGCCAGCTGTACCCTCTACATGTGTTTAAGGGCTCAATCCTACAAACATTTATTTATGTGAGCAGACCTGACACCCATAAATTGTCACATTTATATCAATGGAACTAAGGAAAGATTATTTATGTGAGTAAAGATTTGCAGGAGAGGGCCTTATGTACATACTAAGGGCTACTGATAGGAGTATGGTACTACTCAGTATGAATAGGAGTAGCCAGACTGGGCCCTGTGACTTTAATCTATGTTGTGTTTAAAATAGTCAAATAAAATCTTTTAAACAAATGCATTTTGCCTTGTTTTTCTCATCTTCATTTTCCTGCCCACATGAAAATTTAGGATAAGATTTTCAAAACGGACACACCTACAGTTAGGCCTTTGGCTGCTCTCACCATGCTGGCATAGTCGAAGCAGGAACTCTCCCCTAGTGTAGACACACTTATAAAAGTGCATCTACTGGCACAGCCAATACTGGTTCAGTAACTGCACTAGGACTTTTACCAGTATAACTATGTTGATTAAAAACACATATCCCTTACTGACATAATTATGCTGGTAAAACTTAAGTGTAGACCAGGTCTAAGTCTATATTTAGGCACCTACATTTGTGGCTTCATTTTCCAAGGTTCTGAGCACCCATCCACTCCCATTGACTTAGACGGTATCTATACAATGAGCTCTTTACTAGTATAGGAATACAGCTGTATTATACTGGCAAAGTGCGCCTAGTGCGGATGCAGCTATATCGGCAAAGCTATGCTCTGTATGGTTAAAGTAAAAACACCCCCGTAACAAACACAACAGGGCAATACTACTAAAAGTGCAGCTTTGTTTGTATAGCTGCATCTACAATAGGGATTTCTGCCAGCACAGGGATCACACACCTCTTCCCATCCCTGACCAGCATGGCTATGCTGGCATATGTCTGGAGTGCAGACATAGCCTTCAATAAGAACAGGATTAGGCTCTTATTGTGCGTGGCATATTTCAGATAAAGCACTGCAGAAAACACTCATATTCCCTGCATCTCTCTGAACCACCACCAGCATACTGGTGCACATCAGGGAGTCTCCTCTCTGAACTTTCTGATAGTTGAACAGTCCCAAAAAAAAATCTTGACAATCTTGAATGAAATAGTCTCTCCCTCTGTCCTTCTTTAATATTGATGTGGAAACATTCATTAAATCTGAAGTCTTTTCTATGGGCCACATCCCCCACATGGCAAATCCATGGCAGGCAGGATGTTGCAAGGACCAGGAAGAATTGTACTACTTGTGCTTAGTGGAGAGCAGCGACTACTCCCTCCCTATACTGCCAGGGGTGCACAATGTCCCAACGGGGAGAGATTCCTGCGTGCCCACATACCAGCAAACAGAGTACATCAGTGGCATGTAGGGTAGTAAGCGGCACCAAGGCCCAAAGGAACCTGGGGAGATATCCTGACTGAGTTGTCCCTACAAGGCATAGCAGAAGCCCTCTGAGCCCTGAGTGTTTGTGAGGTCATTAAGATTGACTTCTACAATTTCTGCTACTTTGTCTTAGCTGCGTTCTGCAAGTACATTCCACTAAAATCCTTACAAAGCTATTTCTTATTTATTCCAAACTTTAGGTCAATTCTCCTGAAGGTCCGACTCTACCCCTCCTGTGACTCCACTCACTCCAGCAATGAATCTGGCCCACTTGTTTAAAGAAATTTTTGCAACCTTCTAATTTAAAAATAACATCTTGGCAATAAACCTTTCTCTAAATTCTTAAGAGTTCTGTCCTCTGCTGGCAAATATCAGGGTAGCTCCACTGACCGCAGTGCTCCAGAATACACCAGCTGAAGATCTTACCCAATCATTCTTTGTCACCTATATTATGGCAGAATATAACTGCAAGCCTACTTAGTGGTGTTCATTGTATGGAACAGACTGCACGCCTGCATGAGGGCTGGGGAGATGGGACAGACAGCCTTCTCCTCTTGTCCACCTGCCCACGGTGTAACTGGGGAGCACAGGCACTACTAGCCACAGTGTCAGCCTCCATAAAATTGGTGGAATGAGGAGAAGGACACAGCCCTGACTCTTCACTCTGGTCAGCAGAGTTGGCCCAGTATGAGCAGAAGGGGGGTGCTCCTGCTCCACTGTGCATTCCCTAATGCCCCAGGAGGAATTCTGGCTGAATCTGCATGTCACATAAAAAAATTAGCATTACAGTTTGGCTGTGGGTGACGTATGCAACAAAATGCAACCTAAGCGTAATTTCTTTTGGATGTCAGTATGCAGACATGCATACAGTCAGAGACAAGGCCGAAAACAACAATGGCCTATAAGCCAAGATACTCATCTAGATCAGGACTCTTATTTGGATTCACAACTCCAATTTACAGTTTTATTCAGTTGTCATCCGAGGTCAAGACAAGATCCTAATAAAAGGAACAATAGACCATTTAGAAAGTAGCACCAGACACTAAGGGTCAAATTCATCACCAGGAATGCATACTGCCAATAGCATGGGCACTATGCAACATGATTTGCTACTGCTAAGAACTGATACAGGATCATATAAAGCTCTCTTATTAAGCTTAAGAAAAAAGCACACTAAAACATGATGCAAATTTCTTTAAAACTGGTGTTATACGTATCTCTGGATATCAGTATGTCTTATTCTTGCCTTTTAGTTGGAAAAAATATCTGGGGTTTGAGCTCTTTACTAGTTAGTAACTAAAAATCTTTGCAGATAAGCCAGAATCATGCTAGAATTTAGTTGTATAAAACAACTAAAAAGTTAAATAGGGAAAAAATGGCATCTATTAGCAAAGGTGTCCTGCTTTTTATATATTGACTGCACATGATTTTATATTTTATTTATGTTAATTCACTAAAACTAAGTAGTTTGAACTCACCAAGTATTTTCAGAATAAGGATATTCAGAGTTCAGAGTAGCAGCTGTGTCAGTCTGTATCCGCAAAAAGAACAGAAGTACTTGTGGCACCTTAGAGACTAACAATTTGTTAGACTAACATTTGTTAGTCTCTAAGGTGCCACAAGTACTCCTGTTCTTTTTGCGGATATTCAGAGTATGAAATTATCATTACTAAGGGAGCCAAGTGCTGGTTAAAGCAGTTTGGCTAGTGATTTTTAAGTATAATAATGAGCCGGTAGAAGGTTTCTCCTTTGATGTGTGTGAATGCATGTGTATGTGTGTACATAAATCACACACACAGATGCCCCACCATTGTGGAGTCAGGAATGGTTCTGTCTGGGAATCCAGGGCGTACATGGGACGATGGGGACTCTGCCCATTGGAGATATGCAGCGTTCAATTTGTGTGCTGGAGCCAGAGTATATTTCCTAATTTCAATTTTTTTTGGATAAACCCTTAACAAACAAAAGATGAACTGTGGGACACTACAGAGTGTTAAGTCTGACCAATTACTGGTACCATCAACCTGAATGTGACCAAATCAGGGCCAGATTTTGCAAATGGATTTACACAAGCAGACCTCTCTGCCATGGCAGAGCCCCACGGACTACAACTGCATGATTGGGGCCATAATTAGTATAATTAACATGGGTCATTTCTTTTAAATATAAAATAATTTGAATCTAATACATTCTTTTCAAAATTTATTTCTTACCTTCTCTGCACTTCCATTTCATCCGGAGAGGGTCCATTCTGAACCTGGCGCTGGATAGTTGGACCTATGTAAAATACAACAAATTATAATTAGCAAAGCAAATGTGGTGACAACATTGCTACCATTTCTGAAACACAGCGCTGTCCACAGACTCCTTGCGCACACGTACTAAGAGAGATCAGCACAAAGATTCAAGGAGCGGTTTTCTACCCTTTATTCATTTTAACATACACTGAGTCAGATGCTGAGCTGGTGTAGTGAAGCACTTCCGTTCCATTGAGAGAAACTGGCCAAATATCAGCAGATCGGAACAGATCTATCAAGTAATTCATAGGCGTGGGAGATAACATAATTTAATTGTGCTAGAGTGAAGATCTGCAGACCTGCAACATTCGAAAGGATGATGTGGCACAACTGTCAACCATCCTACCAGGCTGCATAGTTTTAGTTTCTACAGAGTTTAAACCAGGCCTAGTTGGATCAGGCTGTTTTCAACCTATCCTTTGTGGCATACACTGTGCAAGTTCTATGTGTGGAACTTCCATGGATATCCGGTATGCAGAATGAGTACAGAAGGGTGATAGATATCAAAGGACAAGAGATCCACAGCATGGATCGGAGAGAGCTTTTGCCCTAAGAGGGCTGCTCAGCTTCACTTCACTGTTCTCTCATCCACACCATTCATAAATGCAGCCTCAATAGCACTTAGTGATTTATAGAAATCAGAGGACAAATTTAGGAGGTGATGTAAACAGTAGTGTAAATTCCATATTGGTAACTCTGCACAGGTCAGTGTGAGTGAATGTAAGGTGGTGCCTCTGAAGTACGAAGCTGGCAGAAGGACAGTGTTAAAGCAGGAAAAAGCAACAACCAGGAGGATGTGAGAGTATGCAAGATAAAGCAGGTCTGTTACAGGCTTTGCTTTTCCTTCTCCAATCCTGACTGTCCACTTTCCCAGAAGCAGGTACGCCAACTTAAATCCTCACTCACATACGCTGATTTACCAACATTTAACTTGTGTCCCAATTTAGGTCACATCTCTGCATTTGGTCCTAGCAGTTCAACCTGCTTCTTGGACTCTTTATTAAATTCACTGGTGTTTACATGTTATTTTCTGAGAGGAATAAAAATTAATAACAAACATAATTATTAATAATATATGCTCTATTAAATTCTATGGGTGAAATACTGGCCCCATTGAAATCAATGGGTGATGCTTACAGAACTCTATTAAATGCTACGGGAAGTCTCCTTAGAGGGAACATTTTGAAATAACTTGGCCATAAAGTGCCTAATGCACAGAATCATTATGGACTATGAGCTTGTAAAAGTTCAAATTTAAAGGTTCAGCCTTTTCTGAGTTATCCTCCAAGACAGTCAGAACAAAATGTTTACAATCAGAATATATATATCTATATATAGACTCCTCTCATAACTCAAAAATTGCTGAGATTTCTCTCAAATTTTCATTTTTTAAAAAAAGTCCCATTGGGCAGAGACAAAGCAACGAAAAGGTGAATATTTTAGAAAGTTATAAGTGTATGAAAAAAAGAGGGTATAGTGGAAATTGATTAGCAACCTTAACTACAGCGGTCTGTACTACTGACAGCCATAATATACTGTGGATGGCTGGGTGTCTATATCTGCATATTCCAGATATAAACACACACCGAGTTTACATAATGTACATGATGGGGTGATGTGGCATAAGAGTTTTATAGGCCTGAGTTTTTGATGATCACTGACAGGAAGAAAAGCCAGGAGTGAGTTAAACGGGGCATCAAAGGTTTTATTGGCACCCATTTAGCCCACCTCACATAATCATGTACTTTCCTATGACACAGTAGATTCTACTGAAAAATTATTTTGTAAGGGTTTAAAAACTGTTGGTACTATTTTTCTCTGTTTGTAAAGACAGGTTTCCTTAGTGTCATTAACCCAACTGTGCCCAAGGATTCAGAGGATATGTCTACCTGCGGCTGGCCTGTGCCAACCGACTCAAGCTCGTGGGGCTCAGGCTGCGGAGTTGTTTCACTGCTGTGCAGACTTCTGGGCTCAGGCTGGAGCCCGAGGTCTGGGACCCTCCCACCGCACAGGGTCCTAGAGCCTGGGGTGCAGCCAGAGTCCAGAAGTCTACACAGCAATGAAACAACCCCGCAGCCCGAGTCGGGTGGCATGGGCCAGCTGCTGGTTTTAGTTTGCTGTGTAGACATACCCAGAGGGAGACAAAATCAAAAACTCTTAGCTTTTCTGTAACTCATACTGCTGTGATTTTAAGGGCCAATATCTCACAACTTGCTAGGGCTAGAAACTATGGCAAAGATTTTCAGAAAAGTGGGTGCCTTAAATGTTGATGTCACCGAGACACTTTAAAGGGGCTGGATTTTCAGAGAGTGGGTGCTCAGCACTTTGTGATAAACAGGCTGCTTTAAGGTGTCTCCAATTGGGCAGCCAAAACTGAGGCATACACGAACAATAGTCATTTCTGAAAATCTTTTCCCAGAGCAGCATTAGAAAGCCGGCGGAGAAGGAAGGGGAATTCTTTGTTTCAAATAGGATCAAGTTCTCATTCGTTAAATCTGTTACTAACGCAGGACTGAATACTGCCTATCCTGGGCCTTTGGCTAGTGTAATTTTGTGGGAAATGCCACAATTGGTAGGGAACAAAATAAAGACAATGTGGAAAGGATGTTTTTGGTTCTTAAGAGAGCCTTATGGAAAGCTACTAGGATACTTTGGGTGTTAGAAACAGACCTAATGGAGATGGATTAGTGGGCAGAGCGCATGCGAGGTGTCCAAGGTACAAGATAAATGCAAGTTATCACATGGTTCTACAGGTTAACACATTGCTCTCAGCATGGTATTAATGCTAGCAATACACCCAAATAGCAAAGTTGGGATCTGGATCTAAACTTTTGCACAATTTGACTGGGTTTGGATAAAATATATGGTACCATCCATAAAGTTTTGTTATGGATCCAAATTTCCCTCTAGCTCAGGGATGCTGGTGATTTGGATCCACGTTTTGGTTTGGACCCATCTACAATAAATGCATACACTCTCTCTAGATATATACACATCTATTATATGTTTCATTAAACATTCATTTGGCTGCAGACATTCTAGGGGTTATGGTTAGATTTTCGGAGGCCCTTGTATCCTTCATCAATTAACAGGACTCGACCCTGAAAAGCCCTGGTGAGATCTGCAAAACAGAGTTAAATTCTCAGATAGAAATCCCTGCACTGTAGGATAATGTAGGAAAATCTTTGGAGAGAAAAATCCTCCACTGCTTTAAATGTTTTCCAACATAAACTTTTACTCCTTTGGTTCACAGGTTAGTTCTCTTCTGCATAAAAATTTGTGTTTGACCCAATATCCCCCTCAAGCTGATTTCAATAAAAGGCAGTGCTTTTGCTGTTATTGAATTTTGTAAAAGAATTACATTTTTGCGGTGGTAGCGTGGAACTGACTTGATTACTGGGATGCATAATATGTCACGGTCAGTGAAGGCCAGCAAGGAAGTGTCAGCATGGAATGACTTAATCCCCTAGGCTCCTCTGCATGGGTGGGTAGGTAGTAATAAAACCACATAAAACTCCATGGCAAGGCATTGCACAGAGGAAACGTGATTATGCAAAACTCTGCTGAAATTCCATATATCCCACTAGATGTGTGGCAAGAGAGGGGTATGCTTATGCTTAGCAGTGAAAGATGAAATTACACTGGGTGGCTTATTTGTCTCCTCTCTCCTCCAAAACAAAAAGACTGCAGAATGATATTAAAATTTGCAGAAAGATAACGCTGCTCGAACCAGCATTAATGCTTGCTGCATACCTAGTCAGAGGGCTCGCCCTAGCCAGGGGCAGCATGGATTCCAGGTCTGCATTACTGCCAAATCTGGAGAGTGGGGTAGGCAGTGGTCTGGACATGAGAGTTGGGGGAAAGTCCCTCAGAGGGGCTATCTTGGGATAACCGGGAATATTGAGCCTCTGAGGCTTTTGCTGCCACAGCATCCCTACCTATGGTGTAGACCATGAAGGGGGAACATACCAACTCAGTTTGTTCCCCTCCACTTCCCCCACTGCCTCCCTTAAGAGGATTATATACAAGCATCACCAAATAATTCCTTAGACATTACATCTGTGATCTCCTTATATAGACAGAAATGACTGTTTTCTAGGGTAATGAGAAACCTTCATCGCAAAACTGACAAAAATTCATCCAATTTTGTTTAAAACCCAACATTTAGGCCAGGTTTTCTAATAAGTTTACAAACCTGGGCTGAGCTTCTGGTAAACCTGGCGGGATTATCATGGGAAACTGTGGTTCTGGCGGAGTTTTGTTTCAAGTTTGAGTTCCTTGCAAACCCTTGCAAACCAAAGTCTGATTAAAAGTTTGCAAGGGTCTTACAATCCACAATGGTGGAGTCTCACACTGCTCTAGTGCTCTCCTCATCCCTGGGCTTGTTTTTGTTTTCTAATGTGCTCTGCCAAAGCTCACACAAAGAATGCAGGGATTATTTTAGCAACAGCCTGATTTCATATATGGATGTGCTGCAGGAGACAGATCACAGACAATAACTTAAATTGAAATATCTGCATTTAACTGCTCACATTTTCATGTGCTTTTTAAATATGAGCAGACATGAGCAATGAATGCAGCTGGTAACGACATCCCCAGATAAACATCCCTCTCAAATTGCAATGTGATTTACCTCCTACCCTGACAGCTTTTGGGAACACCCCCGTCGGAGTGACTGAATACAATGATTATAGAATATCAGGGTTGGAAGGGACCTCAGGAGGTCATCTAGTCCAACCCCCTGCTCAAAGCAGGCTCAATCCCCAGCTGAATGATCCCAGCCAAAGCTTTGTCAAGCCTGACCTTAAAAACCTCTAAGGAAGGAGATTCCACCACCTCCCTAGGTAACCAGTGCTTCGCCACCCTCCTAGTGAATTTTTTTCCCCCTAATATCCAACCTAAACCTCCCTGTAGCGAAGCAGTAGGATACAGCCCCGCAGAGGGACGAGCCTCCCCTAGCACCAACGTGGGCGGAGCCAG